GACACTTAGAATGATTAAAGACACCCGTAAATTTGTAAAAAAGTGAGAAATATCAACGTTTCGCTACAATGTCAAGACAACCACCGGAAGAACTCACCACTATCATGAGTGTTTCACCCTTCTCTTAGTAGGGGATTGACATCTTAGGCCTACCCATGAGTCGGGGCCAATGCAAATTTGTGGTAATAACCATTGACTAATTTACAAAGCAGGCAGAAGCAGAGTCCTTAGCTAGAATAATGGACCAGAAAATAAAGACTTCATCTGGAAGAGCATAGTATGTCGTTTTGGAATACCTCATGCAATAATAAGTGACAATGTTAACTAGTTTGACAACAAACTCCTTAATGGCTTTTATGCAGACCTACATCCCTAGGCGAACGAGCAAACAGAGTCACTATCAGAAAAATCCTCCGCAACCTAAAGACTAGGCTGAAAAGCGCCAAAGGGCAGTGGGTGGATGAGCTCCCAGGAGTACTATGGGCCTATCGGACAACTCCAAGAAGCCCTACGGGTGAAACCTTTTTCTCCTTAGCCTACGGAACAAAGGCGGTTATATCAGTCGAGATTGGGGTACACTCTTTGAGGGTCCAATACCATGACCCAACTACTAATGAAGAAGGCATCCACATCAACCTCGACTTGGTAGAGGAGGAAAGTGAAATGGCTATAGTTAGGAATACGGAGTACAAGCGCCACATGATCAATTACTACAACTCGAGGGTGAAGTATCACTCCTTCTTGCTTGGACATCTAGTTCTCAAGAAAGTAATCTTGTCTACCAAGAACTTTCGAGAAGGCAAGCTAGTCCCTAATTGGGAAGGACCTTACATCTTGACAGAAGTTGTAAAACTAGGCACCTACAGAATTCAAAACTCTGATGGAAAAGCCTTGGCCCATCCATAGAACGCTAAACACCTGAAGAGGTATTATCAATAGCTGGGTACAACCAGTGACTCTCATTTTATTTGTCATTTGTTGGTTCAATTAATTTATTTTGTTATATATTATTTTAGTTATAAAATAAAACTCCACAAAGATTATTTTGTCTAGAACTGTCTTTCTTTCATCCCATAAAAGTTTATAAACTTATAAAAATTAGAACATGACCTAACAACAACAAGATAGACAAGTAAAGATAAAAGTCGTCAAACTCCCGATAATCACTCATTGCTTCTCGTTCTACTCTCGTCAAAACTCTCCCCGTCACCATCTGTCATTGGTGCTTCATATGGGACAAAACCAAAGAAATCCATATCAGGGAAAGCTATTGAGGCTTTCCCCCTAAAGTCCTTATAACCGTCAATAAAAGCGCATGCAACGGCCCTCTCAACAACCTCCTTCCTCCTTTCCATCTCAATGGAATGAGTCTTTGTCTTGGTGGCTCTCTCACGAGCTATTCATAGGTTAGCCTTTGCCATGTTAGCATTCTCCCGAGCTATCTGTAGCTCTACCTCAGCTCTTGCGACCCTATCGTGGGCTGCTCACACCTCAGTCTCTGCTCTCACGCAAGCAGTCTCCTTGTCATCCTCCAACTTGGCTGTCCTCTCGCAGGACGTCAAAATCTCGATCTCAAGATGTGTAGCTCTCTCATGAGCCAATCTCAATTGCTCCTCAGCAACCTCTCGTGTCTGTCTCTCTTCTACCAGAGCCCTTGATGCCTCACCGAGCTTGATCGTCCTCGAAAAAAGACAAGGAAAGGCAGCAGCTACCTATAAGCATCCAAAAGGCAGGACATAAAAAAAAATGTAGACACCAAGGCTAAATATAAGAAAAGTATACCATAACAAATCTCTCAATCGTCGTATATATAATGCCTTCTGAACCTCGAAAGCCGACCTCTCTAATATTCGCAGCCGTCACAAAATTTCAATGTCGCTTATTGGCCAGATTCACGTCTTACAGCATGGACACCGAGTCACTACTGAAAGCAAGACAACTACGTGGAGCTCCAGTCCTACAAAGGACTGCCCAGGAGTCTCAGTCTCTAATATAGTAGAAGGGCAAACCCTAACGCTCGAAGAGGCTACATGTTGAGAAGGAGTGGAGACACCATCGAACCTCAGATGAAAAGCACTGGGGGCATTAGGCTTCGCTCTCTTGGGAGCAGCGAAAGACGCCATCCTAGAAGTACAAAGAGCCTCTACCATCGCTCTATCAATAGTAATACCTATGGAATTGGCATAAAAAGAAGAATTTACAAACGTCATCAAATTTATGAAAATGATCAAATACCTTTCCTCTTTTGTCTAGGGGAGGCTTTGGAGCCACCCGACGTAAACATAAGGGCTACAAATTGCTTGGTAGAGTGATCCCTCACAGCCTGGAGTCTACTACTCTCTTGTTCCGCAGATAATATGGGTGAAGCTGCAAATGAACCAAACATGCGATAAGTACGAGATGGATATGACATTCAAGCATAAAAGCAAGTCTTTGAAAGAGTATCCCACCTCGAGGGCACTAGGTCACGGTCCTCCTCAGTAGCCCATTCACCTTCTACGAAGAAAATCCTAGACTTCCAACTATGGCAATTCGAAGGTAATCCAGTGATCAACTTGTCTGACCTCGGAGCAAACTCATACCATCCCTGATGGAGAGTAAGATTTCTCCAGAAGGACATACGATGCCAAGAACTCCTCGAAAGGGGGAGAAACACCGTCCCCATGAACCAGTCTCCATAATGAAAAGAAAGTCAGTAATACCCTTCAACCATTTGGAGTCAACCTCCTTGGAGCGAGCGACAAGTGACCCATAATCTAGCAAATGGGTCCGGGGCATAGAAAACCTCAATCCTGCCTTCACGATATCCTCATAGAAAACGATCTCTCTAGAAGAATCATAGCACGTCGGCTCATCCTTCTCAACCCGGCAACACATAACAGCAGGAGGGATATGGGGACAAGTGACGAGCCCAAATTCTACTGAGCCCAGGCCTAGAACATTGGTTAAGCCCAAATCATCAAAAAACCCAGATTTAGCTCATGGTCTCAGTCCAGTCCAAGATTCAAGAGACCTAAGAAGGTCAACGCACGTGGAAAGCAATTATCGGAATAGCCATAACTCCAAGATAATGCCTATTCCCGATTGTAACTATCCTCCTCAAAAGACTAGTAGTCTGATCTTCACGTCACCGCCTCAACTAGAGCTTTGTGCCTATAAATTGTAAATCCCCTTACACATAGGGGCATATCTCTCACACAACACACCTCTCTCTCTCTCTCTCTCTCCATCACCTACTACTTTATTCTCTCATTAATAAAGTTCTTCAGCCACCATTGTTGTCTTCAATGGTTAGGTCACCTAAACCCAACCACCCAATTTTTGTCGCTTATTATTAATTACTCCATTAATTGTCTTGCATCACACACTCGTCTAATTTGATTGTGCTTAACCTATTTTGTGCATCATCACGTTCTATGCTCCTTAAGACCTAGAAACCAGTATTACATGAACTAGACCAATGGCTATATGTTGAATTTCATAATTGGTAAAGTCAAGCATGATAATGCTCCTTAAGACCCCTAGAAACCAAGGCCTTCGACATGTTCTTCCTTTTTTTTTTTTTATCATTTAACTACCTGTTCCCTTCATAACCCCTATCGCATGCATTTTTCGATCTCTTTCCCTACATAACCTTTTATTTAAAGAGGATAAAATCAAAGTCTACCTTTCTTGGTTTTTTGGTCACCCACTTCTATGCATAGGAAAGAAAAAACAATGCTGCACTAACTCTAGCAACCATGTCAAAGCTAAAGATATTCACAGTGTGATGCTTGTTGACAGACAAACATGCCACCCTCCATGCATACTTCTAATAACGAATCATTGCACATAACAATCAAGCTTATTTGAGATGTCACTGACTTCAACCAAACTACATTCTGAAAGAAGATGAATCTAACCTTATCTAATTTTAGCTATCCCCAGCTCTTATGACCATAAATGCCTCTTTGATGTGAGACAAAACATATTGCAAATATTTGAGAAGAGAACAGGAAATGGGCTCCAATTAAAAATAAAACAAGAAATGGGCATATCAATACATGTAAAAACCATGCTTCTAAACATCTTGGCTAGACTAATAAGATGTGTTGAATGTCAGAAGTCCATAGGAAAACTTGAAAAAGCAGATCAGTAATTGTTATCCTTGACTTGTCAATTGCATCCCCAGTTTTAATGTGGCTAGTTGTATTACTCTGTTCCACACTGGTCGATGTTGTTTGTCTACTGAGATGGGTGTTCATTTTTTTTTTTACCCCTTTGAACACACAAACATGCAAACCCCCTAAATAAAAAAATGCCACCTTCCTTCTGATGTAAAATAGGCACTACCACTATGAAATGCTGTTGTAAGTCAAGTACGCTCAGAACAAAGCTTAAATATTTGTCATGGGGTACTGATTCATATAACAATCAGCCAAAGCTGAAGACAATTCAATAATAGGAACAAAGCCTCATGGAAGGTACAAAAACACAAACCCAAATTACCTAGCCTAGTAGTGTTTGATTTCACAACATGAGGGTGAAAATGGTCCATCCCCGGAATTTACTAGTTTCTAAGAGCCTCAAGAAGGATTCATCTCTGTGGACTTTGGAGAGGAATCTGGTAAACCTACTCGCCATGTTTCATGGCATGGCACCAAATAGTGCCTTTTTTGAAGGATCTACATGAATTCTAAAGAAAGGAATCCTCATAAAAGGAACATCTGCAAACCATTTTCATAAGGATCCTAATCCACAAAGTAGATTTCTAATAGTGTCATGTGTTGGTAGTCAGAATTACATCCCAAGATCAACATAGTAATTTGCATGAATGAAGGCTTTGACCAACCATGTTAAGACATCACATAACATACAAGAACAATCTTGTTTTAGAAGTGTCGTCACCAATTTATGAAATCATCCCATCACCAAGTGAAAGAAACAATGAACTTTATCATAATTTGACTATTTGAGAAGAAATACCCAAATTAATTCATCCAAATATAAAACTCAACAGAGTCCTATCAAAAAATAAATACATAAAATCAACAGAGACACTGAAACTGCTACACAACTAGTGTTTCAGAAATCAAAAGGATATTCACTAAATAGAATCAAAAATGCCATGTCCAGATGAATTCATTCTTCAGGTCAATAATTCATAACATTGGATTAAATTTCTCATCCTCTGGTTCTAGTGTACATTTGGAAAAGGAAAAGCACACCCCCCAAGTTAATACAAAACTAGCAATTTGTCTAAGACTCCCAAAACATCATCACAAGGAAACAATGTCCCATAAATAAGGTCGAGTTTGCACGATCAAAAACAACATTCACAATCAAAAGGACAAAGAGGTGTACCTCCACCATCTGCCTTCCCAATCCCCAACTCCTCTTCTGTATAAATAACCAGCCCATCCCCAGTTTTCTTCCTTGGCCGAGCTACCGGGTCCAAAAACCCATTGCTTTCTATGGGACCTTTGCTCTTACTTTTCTTTTTCTTCATTGTACTCCCTTTTCCAGATCCATCTTCTGCCGGCTTCTTCGTCTTTACTTGTTCTGGCTTCTTTCTCTTTTTCCCGGCAAAGATTTGATCAATCTCATTACCGGTTTTTGTGGGTGTAGACGATAAGGTTTTCTCCTGTTCCACAACAGGGCACTCGGACACTGTTGTAGAACTTTTATGTGAACTCTTTTTGGCCATTTTCTTGAAATCTGCAAAACCAAAAGAAGATGAAAACATTAAATCAAACATTTCACGCATCATAACACGGAATTGGACCAGCTAAACAACATACAGACATAGGACATGAACATGGCCAGCTCAACGGTATATTCAAAAAAGCATGGGCTTTAAGCCCTACATATTAAAAAGGCCCCAAATTTTAGAGTTCAATAATGAGATATAGATCAATGATTAAAAATTAAAACTCATTATAATTTAGCTTAACATGCAACTTTCATCGTATGATTTCAATTTCAGAAAAACAGAAGGAATTAAGACGCACACATAGACTGTCATACAGAGAGAGAGAGAGAGAGAGAGAGATAGAGAGAGAGAGAACCTGAGACGCGTGTGGCTTGTGGCTTCGAAGAGAAGGCGGCGATAGAGGCTAGAGTCTCTGAGACTCGAAGAGGAGGAGGCGCTAGGGATCAATCGACTGAGAAGAAGAAAGAGGGGAGAGTCTATGAGACTCACAGGAGGAGGAGGATGCCCTAGGAATTTTAGGATTTTTGTGCACAAATTAACATGGATATATTTTTTAAAAAAATTATACATGTTGGTCGGGTCGGGTCAGAATCAATTTTTTTGTGACTATTTCGCATTTTTACCCGAAAAATCATAAATCCTTATATTAGACGGCAGATTTTTATGGAAGCCGAACAATCAAGTTGGATAGGGTAGAAATTGGCCGGGTATTGAAAAATTTGAACACTTTTATTTAAAAGATTAAGTCAACAAAATAAAATTTAAATTTAAGTCAAAAAGTGTAGTCTATCTGACACATACACATTTTAAATGACAGAAAAAAAATGTTAAATTATTTATTTTCATAAAAGAGTCACAATAAAAAGTAATTAATATAAAAAAAATTCAATAAAATTATTATCGAAAAAAATAAAACACAATAAAATAGTAGATGAACGTTGCATATATAAACAAGTTGAGGATCATAAAAAATAGTAAAATAATTTAATAATAAGGAATTACAAATGTATACTGATAATCAATTATATAATATCACAATTTTATGAACAACATACAAAATAAATAAAAAGAATATAAAAATAGTAATAAAACAATAGTTTGTATCCCAAAAAGTACAAATCAAATAAGAGATAAGAAAAATAAACAAATATGCAGATTTGTTTGCTAAAAAATGTGTACTTAGTCAAAATGATCTATATACATTTACAATTCTTATGAATTATATTATGGAATAGTTATACGCAGATAACATGTGTATTAAATAAACACATGTAATGCTTAATATATCTTAGATACCTATATTACTAAAAAAAAATATTATGTGATACTACGTTATAACATTGAATATCTTTATTGTGAGAGTACTTTATAACAGTCTACACATAATATGATAAATTAAAAAAATGTATAAAATATAAAATAACACATATATTACATTTAATCATTGCTTATCATCTAATAATCAATTTGTCTTGCTCAACGTTACAACAACATAATTGTGTCAATCAATTACACAAATTAGTTATAATTATCCTATAATACACTGAATAGTTACTTATGTGTTATAATAAATTAAACAGTTATATTAAATAATTACATTACCAACTTAATTTATTATTCAGTTGTTTACATAAATTAAAGAGTTACACCATTTGGATTAGTGTCATAATTTTGTGTAGTTGTTTGGTATAACTATTTAGTTTATCAAAATACATGAGTAACTGTTTGGTGTATTATAAAAGTAATTATAACTGATTGATATAATTATATTGCTACAACGTTAATATAAAGAGAAAGAGAAAAAAAAAAGAAGAAGAAATTATCTCTATCCCGCCAAAGATAGGTTAGAAATTTCCCCCGTCATCCAAGAAAAAAAATTGTACATTATCACAACACAATATGGATCCGATTTGATACAAAATTTAAAAATAATAAAATCTGTAAAACATAAAAAACACATTCACTAAGTACCGTTAAAAAAAAAGTATTTTATAATATTTTTTACATAATTTTGTACAAGTTGTTGTAAAATTAAATAAGTTTTTATTAACAAAAATATTGGCCCAAACACGACACACACCAAAAGTGACCCAACAAGATACGATTAACGACCTCCGATAAAATTTTTATTTATAGGCTAAACTTTAATGCGATGAATTTTTAATGCAATAATGACCCCATGTCATCTCCATTCTGTGACATAAAAATACAATAAGAATATAACAAATAAGAAAGTGAATACCAAATAATTAAAAAGTTACATATCCACGCAATTCAATAACTATTAGATAGTGACACCACACAACAGTGTTGATTCTTTACAATAAGAAATATATAAAAAACAATTAAAGATACACAACCCAACGTAACCTTTTTGTTCTTTTTCATATAGATATAAACCAACTTCCCAAAACAGTTCATATTAAGATCCTTAATAATGCAACACATTCTGATAACTCTGAAGATTGGACGAAGTTTCTACCTTGTTATCTACCTGCTCAAGTCCAACTACTCCCTTCATTCATAGACCAGGCAGTGGGAACTTAGTTGTAATAGCCTCAACTCTCCTTTGCAGATCCAAAATCCGATCCATCAAAGGAAAATCTGAAGATGCTAAAAACTTCATGAAATCTTGGAGCTTAGAACCTGAAGCTGATCGTTTTGCATCGAGAGCAATCTGCACGCCTTCGTGAATAAAGTCTGCAGTGGAAACAAATTCCTCTTCACCGAAACCTCGGGTAGTCATAGCAGGTGACCCTATGCGTATGCCACCAGGAACTAGTGCACTCTTATCACCTACATTGTTCAGGCTTAAAGACTGTGTGAGTGCAAAGGTATCAATTAGAAAAAAAGCACACAAACATATAAAAGATGAAGCTACATAGCATAAACTGACCAGGTACTGAGTTCTTATTGAGGGTAATGGAAGCCATATCAAGAATTTTCTCCACACGAGCACCATCAATACCCTGTGTCGATAGAGGAAATGTTAGTTAATAGCTCAGCAGATATAATCTGAAGCAATGGCGTGCCTCTGTTGGATGTTGAAATTGGACTCTCTAAACTCCAAAGCTGCATTCTCATTAATGGATTGTACATCATTTTGGTTCATAAAAATTATGTATCAGCCCACCAAAACAATGAGGACACTGACCCCAGAATTCTTCTAGCTCATTCCTGACAACTTGCTTAAGCTTTTCATATCTCCTAGTTTTCAAAATCAAGATATAGATGTTCAAGAAATATACTCATTGCATTTACATAAGCAGCCACAATATATTGCAGTTAGAAAATGAAAACAAAGGATATGTGATGAAACTCACTAATGGCCTGAGATCCACAAGAACCAAGTGGTTATCACTTCCTCCAGAAACCAGTTTATGTCCCAACTCAATCAATCGGCTGGCAAGAGCTCGACAATTTGCAACCACCTACAAGGCAAAATTGCCTGTTAAAATAAATGCCAGACATTATGTGTTAGCCATGAAAAGAAAGGGCAGTACCTTGTTCTGATAAACCTTAAATTCTGGCGTTTGAGCATATTTTAAGCAGACAGCAAGTCCCCCAATCGTGTGATTATGTGGACCACCCTGTCAAGATAGCTCATTGCCTTTTAGTTTGCTCCTAAAAAAGGATTTCAAATCTAAAAGCTAAACTTTTTGTCCAAGAAGGAAACATATTAGATCTAATCCACACCTATGATGATAGAGCAAAGAGAGAGTCTAACTAACCTGCAAACCAGGAAAAACAGCATTGTTAATGGCGGATTCTAAGTCCACGCCCAGAACAGGATCCTTTTTGAAGAAGATCATTCCACCTCTAGGTCCTCTCAAAGACTGAAGAGAAATTTTTAATTGTCAGGTTGTGGCAAGGCCAGAAGAAGTTGGGAAACATACACAAGTTAAAAATACATTATAAAAGTGAGGCAAATATAATTTATATTGTTTTAGATCATATAGCATGGATAAGAACCCACACCAAACTATGACAGTGCATCATAACTAGAAAGTAATCCTTTGAAGTGTCTTAAATATAAAAAATGCCTTGGGATTTATGATGAAGGAACCAAAAGTTCAACATATAATGCAATTGAGGGTTTTAAAATAATGAGCGAACCGTTTTCACAAGAATGGTCCCCCACCTTGTGTGTCGTTGTTGTTACAATATCACAATACTCAAATGGATCAGCAACCACAGAAGCAGCAACAAGTCCACTTATGTGAGCCATATCCATCATGAGAAAAGCACCAACAGCATCTGCAATCTACCATCATGGCAGAAGTAATTAGCCGCTAAAAACAATAGACACAAAAAGCATCCCAAACTATACATATCATGGACAAGCAGAAAAATATGCATAGCCAGTAGACACAGAAGAATTGCACCTTTCTCATACGAGAGTAGTCAAAATCTCGAGGATAAGCACTAGCACCAGCAATAATAAGTTTCGGTCGAAAGAGATTAGCTGTTTTCTCAAGCATGTCATAATCAACCAGGCCTGCACAAAATGTGAAGTCAACTCCTAATCAGCCACCAATTCATGTTAACATCCAGAAATCAACTGCATTATACCATATCCCAAAGAAGAATGTGGCACCTGTAGATTCATTAAGCCGATAAGGCATAGATTCAAAATAAATAGATGTGCCTGATACCCGCCTTTTAGGAGTCATGAAACCATGGGACAAGTGACCTCCATGGGGCAAGTCCAATCCCTAAGTCAAAAAATTAACTGATTATATTAGTCCAGGTCTTCCACCACACGTGATTTATTGTTATTTCCAATATGATCAATTTAGATGACCAAATTGCAGGTAGCCAACATTCAGCTTACCATTAGGCGGTCATGAGGATTAAGAATTGCTGTGTACACTTCAAAATTGGCGGGAGAACCTGACAATGGTTGAACATTTACACCCCAATGCTTACCATCCAAGTGAAATGCCGCCAAAGCCCTTTCTTGACAAAGAATTTCTAGCTCATCAATGTACTCATTGCCACCATAGTACCTGATAGAAGATAACAATTCCAACACACAGATGAAAATAGCAAGTTAGGGCAGTATTAGAATCTGTGTGTGTGTGTGAAGATAGCTTACCTTTTGCCTGGTAGGCCTTCAGAATATTTGTTCGTAAGGACAGAACCAACTGCTTCCATCACAGCTCGTGACGTGAAATTCTCTGAGGCAATAAGCTCTAGACTTCTAAATTGACGTTGCTTTTCTTTGTCAATGATCGATCGCACTTCAGGATCAGTATCACTCAGGCCATAGTCTACAAAGCTGCTGCCATTTCCTAAATGCAATAATTTGTAATTCCCATGCATGAGGTTTAGTATCAGATAATTTCATTGAATATAGGAATATATCGACAAAAAATCTTCAAGGATCTTCCCTTGCAGGAAAAAGTAATAATCAAGCTAGTTTTTGAAGGCACAAAGGAAGCAGATACATGATTCTTCAAGTTATATCATATATGATACAAAGTATCCTTTTTTCCCTATTTGATCACTTTGAAATCCAAATTCGAAGTTGCAATCAAAACCATTCTTTAGAAAGGTTATCAATTCATGAACAGTAACTGAAGTGCTGAACCATATTACCACATAGTTACATTTGGATGTAGAATCCTCCCTCCCAACCCTCTCCCTTTCGTCTTTTCCAGACTCTAGATTGATGGATGGAAGTGATCTTTTCTCCCACTCTTGCTCAATTAAGTGATCATTGATTCAGACACTGGTGCATAAAATTGAAAATCTTTCAACAAGTTTCAAGACTTGGGGTTGAGGGAGGTAAAGTAAGTTGATACCTGTCAAAATGAATTTATTATTATGTAACATCACAATCTGTAAGTGTTTTTTTTCGTTCTGACAAGATATTATCTCATCAGTTATTAGAAATATGTATTATGCCAGTTTCCTCTAGATTGTCATACATCTTATTTTTAATTATGTGGTTACTATACATAGTTTATTGGGGAACTTCATAGTTAAAGTATATTAAACAGTCCTTAAGCTTGCCAAGTTTTTACAACTAATGGAACAGCATTCTAGTCAGTATTACAAATTGAGACAATTCCAAAATTCATATCAATAAATTAACCAAGTTAGCAAATAAAAATGAATGGCAACAACTCTTCCAATCAGGGAACTAGTACACTCCAACCCCATAAGACAATGTATCTTACCAATTTCTTCATTGAGTGTACCATGCCAAGGCTCTATTCACATGGCTAAACCCCACCCCCCACCCCTCCCCTGTGGGGAGGGGTGACTCTATAAGTTTGAAATTCATTTAGGGTTATAAGACTCTAGGGATATAAGGACTTGAAGCATTGACAACGAGCTTCTGTTCTTAGTTTGAACGATTACCCAATTTAATTAGAACATGCATTTAAAAGCTTAACATATCCAGGTAAGAAGACACTCTATTGTTCTTCTGTCTCCAATATTCGAAACTAAACACACTTAACACCCAAATGGAGGAGAAAATACAACATGTTGGCACACGTAGACCGAAACTACAAAATCAAAATTCCAAAATTCACAACTAGTTACCTCCTCCAATCTCAGGCACAGGAACAGACACGGAAGAGGGTGGCCTCCCAGTGACCAAGCTCCCCTCAAGTTGAGATGATGATCTACATGGCTTAACCGAACCGAGCTTAACCTGGTGTGGGAAGTAGTAGTTAACACCGCACCCATTTGAAAGGAAAGTCGATTCCTTAATCCAAACGGGCTGTTGAAGAGAACCCATAACTGCAGCACCACTACAACAAGCCTGCATACTAGCTTTTCTGATACAGATCTCACAAAACTATGTCCTACAGGTACCAAGATTCGATTTACACATACATAAGCATTACGTAATCAAACTCAAATACACTAAGTTCGTGAAAAAATATGCAAATTCAACCAACACACAAAAAAAGACATTAATTGAGAAAAAAATCGGTGGATTTTAGATCCTGTTTGGTTGCTAAGAAAAACCGAGGAAACGGGAAACTTAGGTTTCACATTTATTTTCGGATTTTTCTGAGCTACCAAACGGATTCGAGAGGAACGATGAAAAAGAAAGACTTACACACTTGAATTATTTTTTCTTTCGCTTTCTTTCTTCTTCCTGCTTTTTTAAAGATGGGCGAAGGAGTGAAGTGGAGTGGAATGGGTGTGTTCAGAAACCCTAGCTGTTGTAAAAAGCGTGCGCCTCTGGTGTAATAAAAAATAGAGAAAATCTATGGCAACTTAGTCTTACCGACAATTATAAGTTATCCCACTTATAAATGTCCGCATATTTTAAAAAAATATATTTTTAATTATTATGCTAAAAGTAATTATATCTATTTCTATACTTTCATTTAATTTTTATTTTTACTCTTATTCGACTTTTAACTTATTTTAAACTCTTTTATAAAAATTTATAAACACTTTTAAGCTCAGTAGTACAGTTACATACAATTTTCTATATCTATATAAGCAAAAGTCTTTATATGTTAAACTATTAAATACGTGTAATTATTAATTTAAATTTCACGATCAAATATATATTATTTTTTATTTTTTAGTATGAAATAATATAATAATATTATAAGCGATCTAATTAATCTATTAAATAAAAGCAAAGTTAATAATTTTATAATATAATTAGATAGACAAATAAGTAAAAGACTTTGAGAAATACTTAAATAAATGACAGATTAGTTATTTAAAAATTTATAGAATAAATGAATAATTAAATTTAATAATAATTAAAATATGAATTAATTATTTGGCACTTAATTTATTCTTTAATTTAATTACTCATATAATTCAACTTTTTTATAAAAATATTATTTAAATTTATTTAAGTGTAACGCATGTTGTGCATTGCTACTTTTTATAAGTGTATAAAATATGTTCAATCATAAAATTATAATTTTTAAAAATTAAATTAAAATTTATAAAAAAATTATAACTCATCAAAAAAAGTCAATCAAGTATAATTTTATCATAAAAAATATAACTTTTTTTATAATATCGAAAAAAATACTTTCCATAAAAAAGAAAAATACAATATAAGTACTGCTCCATGACTTCATCACCCATGATCAGACTAATTCTACTACCCCTCCAATTTTTATTTTGTTTTAAATTTAAATTTGAGTAAAATATTCTTAAAAATCTTCTTCAATGTTATATCTAAACTTATATTAAACTAAAAAAAACTCAAATTTTTATCCAAATCAAAAGAGATTCAAACGTTACTCAAATCACAAGTAGTCATAGTTTAATTCTCCTCTGAAAATTTAAAAATCATATTCTGTCCTCATTTAATTTTTAATTTGTCCTCTTTTAAATTTGAATTTTTCTATTAGAGTATTTCGTATCAAATTAATTTTTTACGCATTTTTTTTACTCAAATTTGAGTAAAAGTTTGATTCTTCATTGGAGATAATCTTATATATACTTAGCAATAAAATGAACAAAAAAAATTTAATCTCATCTAATAATACAGTTAATTAGTTAAATTCTCAATTTATTAAAATACAATAATTGTTAGAATTAACATATTTCAATGTCAACTCAACCCAATCCACTTATTAATGTCAAACAACCCCACTAATCCACATCTATCTCTCTCTTATTTTTCTCTTCATTTACTTTAATTTTAAATTATATAATTAAAAATAAATAAATTAAAATTATTGCATGGCAATATTCAATTTTTAATATTACAGTGTACCATCTAACACCGAGTTATTGTTAATAGATTTACAAAATTGGATATATCACATGTGTCGTTCCTTTTTAGGGTTAATTGCACTAGAAATTCTTGAAGTATGTGATTTGTCTCATTTTGGTCATCAATTGTATTATTTTGGTCCCTAAAATATTAAATATGTTTCTACGTGATCCCACAAAAAGACAACATCTAAATTTCTAGTGATTTTTTATCACAAAATTGATACGTGATATATAAATACGAGCAAAAAATAATTTAGATACCTCTTAATCAAAATTTGGTCCAAAATTATCCAAATTATTTTTTTACCCATATTTAAATATTACTTGACAAATTTATAATTAAAAATCATTAACAATCTCAATGTTGTCGGCTTGAGAGACCACATAAAAACAAATTTAATACTTTAAGACTAAAATAATACAATTAAAATATTGATGACTAAAATAAGACAAACTCTATAGTTTAGAGACGTTCAATGTAATAACCCTTCTTTTTATTATTAATTTTGAACTTGAACCGCCTATTCAACGAAAAAAAGAAGTGCACATATCAGATCTTAACTACAGGGCGGGTTCTACTGCTACAACAATTGCATCTGTTTGCTTATCCTCGTGTACCAAGAAGAAAAATGTATATACAAATTGCCAAAGTTCAGCCCAGAAGATGCAGAACTTGCTGCTTCGCCATTTCCTTTCCCCTGCGTCTCCCTTATTAACCTGCAAAACAAAGAGGTGAAACACAACCGCGTAACAGAAAATTGTAATCTTGAATCTCTGATTTTTTTTTTTCCCCAATCAGAACATGGTGAGTAAATACAAATCCTAAACACTGTATACAAACTGAAAGCGCTCTACGCACTTTCTCCAGGGAAGATATTCATTTCATCAAGACAAATAGGTTCTTTTAACTGGCCAAGAAAGGAAGAAAAAAAGAAAGTATCCCTCAGAATTCTAGTAGAAAGGAAAGTTTGCAACAACTACTTCTACTTGTGAGGATTTGGTGAGATATTCATTGACCAGATGTACATTAACCACACAAACCCAATATGCGCCTCAGTCCACGTGTGAAAGGCCCCCTCCACCTTCAGCATGTGTCCTGCATAGAAGCCAAATATTTTGGTTATGGACTTGATAAACATCCTGCAAACAAATGAACTTTGACCTATACACACTGCCAAGTATAAATGATAGCAGTTTTGCCTAGTTAAGGAAGCTACACATGCATGCATGCATCAACAATGTCAAGCAATATATATACACATAACTGTTGGCATGTGTAGCTTTTTGAGCTCTGTTCAGAATTAAACATATGGTCGACCAGACTAGAGCAAGAGATGCAATGGAATACGAAAGGTGTACTTCATTATGCGTAGAGGTTTACCACAGCCTTGAGTGAAAACAATCATGGATGTCCAAGAGATGAGTTATACAAGATCAGTCAAAGGTGAAAAGCCAAAACTTTATGTCTGAGAGCCGAGAAAGATGCATGATGTGAAAAACCAACCTGTCCATACAACTAAGCCTCACTCTCCCAGACTCCCAGTGCTTATATCTCACAGGCTTATATTATTAAATCAAACTTTTCCATTTCAGAGATCTGGAGCAGAAATTATGCATCAAATGAGCAATTTAATGTTAAAAAGGTTTCTGCAGAAGGCAAACAGCACTCACTTGTGGTCAGAAGGATTTGGCATAATTTCATAAACAATTGTTGTGACAGCATTCCTCTTCAGCTGTTAATCCACAGAAAAAAAAATATATAATTTGCAACACCCACTGCATACATCTATATCTTAAATTCCACACCGAAATTACCTGCGTAGCTTCACCTTTAAGCCATGTTGTATTTGAGTTTGTCACCACCAAAATTGTCAGGGAAATGCA